GCTGTAAGCGCCAATGCCAGCTGACGCTCTAAGTAGTATAAAGTTACTCTATCCTTAAAAAGCCACTAAATATTTTAACATGATTAACTTGTACAAACAAATTCCTGAAAGAACCTATGCCAGTAATAACACGTAAGTGCTATGGCATAAAGTTGCTAGAGTGTTTTCTGTGTGGTGGTTGCAAGCAATTCTTGCCAGATGGGCTGATAATGTTATTAGGAATCGTTGTGTTAAATGAGGCAGTATTTAAATTGCCAACTAATTTTCTTTCTATTAACCATCTTAAAAAAAGAAGAGCTGTTACCCAAATTATTTCTAGCTGCTAATCTCTAACAAGAAACCTCACACTTCTTTGCACCTTTTTTAAGCTCTGTCTAGCAAATTGCTTTTTGGTAGGGTTTATTATGTGTGGGACAAAATAAAAAAGAAAGATAAGAGATTTTTCATGTTCAGAGCTTTTTAGATGGGGTGCACTTCTGCAAAGCCAGTACATCATGATGTGTGCTAACAGCTCATGAGCCAGTAACGGGATGCTTCCTATTTATAGTTTCTAAATGTGGACGGAAAAACATTTTCACTTTGTGATAGTTCACTGTGTGGCGTACTCCAGCAAGCAGAGTGGGACTATAAACCCTATTTTAAGTGTGTGCGTGGGAGAAATCATGAAAGCACAGCAGGACAAGATTTTGAACGGCATATGAATGTGAGCAATGTGGAACAATCGCTGTCTCTATCGGGGAAAGGAGGGAGGGAAAAAGAAAAGGGCTCTCTTGGGTCACGTTAAAATCCCAGGGAAGGTATGATCATTTGTAGCTCTCCTGATGAACTCTTACAGAGCCAGCATCTTTGGTCTGCTGGCTTGTGCTGGGGAATTATCAATTGCCTATCCCAGGGATTTTGACTGAACCCTGGAGTAAACCTAAGGCTGAATGAGATTGATTATTGTATTTACAGCGCTAACTGTGCAGATCTTATTCCCTTTTTTTTTTTCTTCCCTTCTCTGCTTCATCTTAAGCAAAGATGAAGAACCAAATGCATTTGTTAAGCCTCATTTCTTGTGTCCAGTGACAAATCTTTATTGCTCAACCTGAAAGCAGTATCAAGGAATGGAATCAGGCCCATGAACTTGAGGAACCATAGTGGATTTTTCCATGGATTAGTCTCTGGATGGGGATGGATACTACCAGTAGCTCAGTGAATTACTTAGGGAGTATCAAAAGGAGCAGTGCACACAGGTCCTATGGTTGCACACCTGYGAAGGCCAGGTATGCTCAACCATGCAGAGTGGTGCTTCAAAGAAATGCATCCTGCACTTCCACCCCTCATTTTTGTGTTTTCTGGAAGTTCCCAAAAACTCTATCTGGCCTCAAACAGAGAAGAAAAGCATTCCTACGTCTGAGCACAGTGTAGGTCAATAAGGTGGTAAAATCTGTCCCTGCTAGCGGATGCTGTTTGCCCCAGAAATGGAATGATTGTCACTTTTATCACTTTTCCTTGCAAATGGGGAGGAAGTCGCTTTCTGAAAGCGCTGTGGAGAGAGGCAGGTTGTTGATCACCAGGCAGCTAAATGAGGCGTAGCTAATGACTGGTGTTGATGACGTTGCACTGATGCTACTCCTTGTAACGAACAGATGGGGCCAGTGCCTGAACCACAGATAGATGAAGCTTTGCTGAATGAAAGAAGATGACAGATCAATAAACAACTATCTTCTGATGTTGAAATACAATGATTCAGCAATGGAAGCCTTAAAAAACTAAAGACATGGTGGTAAGGTACATTATTGGGACAGGACAGCATGCAGTGAGTAGTATTTGATGTTGCCTCTAAATGAAGCATTGGAAAGTTTGCAGGATCCTTGAAATATAGACAAGGAGTTTGATTTCCAGCTGGAATAAATCATTGCAACCATATTTTTTCAGCATCTCATTCCCTTTGGAACAGAATAAAATACTTAAATGCATAGCCCAAGGAGATATCTGCTTCCTTGTAGATATATTTCAGTGCTTTCAGTAAACAGTTTTTGATTTTTTTTATAAGCAGAACTTAGTGGCATATGGATAGAGTGTCAGCTTTCCCATGTAAGCTTGGCATGGGCAGAGGTAGATGTGACTATTTTCCTTACTCTATACCTAGGTATCTTTATTAGCTTATTGTTATAAGCACACCATTTCTATAGCAAACGTGTAAAAGAAAATAATCRCCAGGCATAGTAATAGGTGCAAAACCTACATCCCACAGCTTTCCCTTCAAGGGAAAGAGGAGTTTTTACATTTTATGTCTGCTTTCTGCTGTATAGGTCTGAAATTGAACTTGGAAGCAACAATCAAAAAAAAACCCCTCTAGGCTTTCCTTTTGTACATTAGAAAGTGAACAGAAAGTAGTTTTTGATGGTTTTTAATGCTGAGCACATGATCACTCAGCAATCTTTGGACAGGTTCTCCTTCACAGCCATATTCAGCTGTGTTGCTCTGGTCCTGGCTTTCGCAAAATCAGACTTCATCTGACACTCTCTGACAAAATGCGCTGATCACTAAATAATCAGCCGTAAATGACAGGAAATGATTCATTTTAGATGGCTGCAATACATCGAGTAAACTGCTTTGCGTCTCTGAAAGCTCTGATTCACGATCCCTGATGCTTCATGGGGAGGCAAGAGGACGGCACCGACTCTTGCCTCTGTATTGCAATCTACTGTCCCCGTGGCAGAAAGACAGAGATGGAGAGATGTCCACTCTCTGCTGTTCATAGCAGTTCATAGCTCAAAGAACTCAGCTGAGCACTGATTTTGGTTTACGTTGGTAAGCCAGGCTGCAAAATGCAGTGGAGTAGGGGGTCTGTGTCTTTGGCTGTCTTTCCTAGGGCGCTGGGGCAGGTCAGGCGGCCCTGGACCCTGCGGAGTCCCTTGCTGTCCTGTGACTCGCCTGGAGCAGTGGTATTAAACTGCCAAAACACTGAGCAGAATGAAGCAGGCCTTGGTGGCGACACCAGGAAAGTGGTTCCTAATGAGACGTGAAGGCCCTCAGGAAAACTGAGCCSCGAAAGTTGCAGAAAAGAGAGAGAGAGATGGCGAACGCCATAAGTTCCACCCGCCCCAGAGGGACCCGCTGATCAGTGGCGCTATTGTGGGGACTACAATAAATCTGTGTCGCCCTCGGCYGCCTGCATCTCATTAGGCGCGAGCAGGCGGCGGCAGAATGTCACCCTCAGCAGCGGCTCGGCGTGGGCACGGGCAGGGCCAACGCGCTGGCTTTGCGGGTCCGGGCATGGCGGAAGGCCTTCTTTTAGCAGGGCCTTCTGTTAGACATGGTGGTGTGCTCCCTTCTGCAGGAAGTAAGTGATCCCTTTTCTTCTGGGACTTGTAAGTTCTGTGAGGATAGAGTTTTAGTCAAGGTGTAGGGGGAAAATAGCCTTTGTATGTGATGTCTTCACAGCTGGAGGTTTTGTGGCTACTTGGTTGGGATCTTTCTAAGTCCTSCTCCACATATGGTGTCATGCATATTACTGAAGCTACAGCAGCACCTACACATGTTTATGCTGCTGATGTATAGTGCCCGTTACTCAAACACCACTGACTGCCTTATGGATGCTAATTAATTTAAGCCCTGCAGCAGCCCTTTGAGCAACTTCTGTTGGTTTGCATAGATGGACACAATGTGCATTGCAAAGCTGKTCTTTGTTATGCATTTTTAAAACATTCCTCTCTTAGAGACAGAAAAAAAAAGTTCTTCCTTTGTCAGGAACTTGACAAAATGTTAGGGTTARATTCAAGTCACCAAAATGTTAGTGTTAGTCAAAGCCAAATGTTAGACTCAAACCCAGGGCTCGATGGGGGCCACTGCAGTGGTTGGTTTGAGCTGGATTCAGACTGAGGTGACCCAGGCCTGGTGTCTTCTTTCCTTGCACAGGAGTCACAGTCAGTTTAGGACAATCTGAGATCACTGAACAAGGTAAACATCCCTTTCCGGCCTCTGCTTCTGCCATCTCTTAGGAAGTTACTCTGTGATCTGACAGATTACAGTTTTTGTCCTGTTGTTTTGTTGTTGTTGTTTTGGGATTTTGTGGGGTTTTTTTTTTTTTTTTTTTGGTAGTAATGGTAGGTCAGGAAGCTGATCTGATTTGCTGTACAGCCACATGAGAACAACAGCTAGAGTTTGTGCCAACAAGCCATGAGAAGCCAAGAGGAGGAGAAAAAAAAAATGTGACCACTGCTTTTGGTAGTAGCGTAGTCTGTGACTGGCATAAATTACCATTGAGGAGCACCCTCAAGCTGCAGTTCCAAGGTGGCTTAAAGCCAGCACTGCCACTGAAAGCAGTGATCCCGCTGCTGTGGTCACCCGGCCTGGGAAACTGGGCCAAATGAGGAAAGAGGAGGAGGAAGAGGGGGGTGTATTTGTGTGCTGTATTTTTTTTTTTTTTCCTTAGGCATTTTTTGGCCTAAATCACCTTCCCAATTAACTGAAGGAGTGACCCACTTTTAGGCCGTGTCTCAATCGGTGCCTTTCACCGGGCTTAGCAAGGCGTAAAGGCAGGGCAGACTTTGCAGTGGGTTGCTGGGGCTGAGAGAGAGCCATGAGACGCTGCGATGCTGCCCAGGCCACCGGGCAGCTTTGTGTTTCCCACCGCTTCTGCTCGCGCTTGGCCCGCTGCACGGAAACCTCCCAGGCTCTAATGCAAGCAAGGCTTTAAACACTGTGCAATTCAGCGTGCGTCCCGGGCCAGACGGGTTCCTGAGACACAGGAACTGGGCCAACAAGCAACCTGACATGATCATGAGCTCAGCTGCTGCATGAATGCTGGGTTTGAGGGGTCTCACCCTTCCCTGAACGTGACTGTATTTCATTATAATCACCTATTTAAGGGTCGCAGCAGCMTAGCTTTCCCAACAGTGACCTTATTTATTTTCCAGGGTAATATTTATCTTCATTTTTTATACAGAAGGTATTTGTTTGTTTGCTTAGCTGAATTTGAAAACCACCTCTGCTTTCTTCTCTTTTGGCAGTTAAATATTCTGGTTGACACTGGAAGCAGTAATTTTGCTGTAGCAGGTGCACCTGATGCTGATGTCACCACCTATTTCAATCCACAGCTGTAAGTACCTGTTTTTGCACATCGTGATGCAATAGGATGTCTTGTAGATTCTGACTACCTGTAAAAGTGGATGGTAAGGCATTAATTGATTTTKTTACCTGACAGGTTGTCCAAAAGCAGTACCAGTCAGTCTAAAACCAATTGCTGTTTAGTCTGGTCAATGACGTCCATCGGTCAGCCACCTGGGCAAGATCCTGTGCTCTATCTGGCTGTTTGTATTATCTGACTTACTGGGTTTGGTGCCTGCTATGTGCAAGAGTTTCTGTGTTCAGCATGAACTGGCATTAGTCACAATGAAACACAGCTTTTCCTATCAGAATCATTTTCCTTCTTTTCTACTTTCCTTTCTGTCTTCTCTAGTTTCAGTTGTTCTAGGTAAATTTCTTCAATGAAATGAAGTGTCTTATTTTTCATTGAAGCATATGGATAAAGATATGTAGAGGATTTAGAGCCTTGAGAACACTGCCATTCTTGTTACCTCCTTATATATTTTAACATGGGCTTTGGCTTTATTTTTTCTTTCTAATAAGATTCACCAATAATGCAAGAAAAGCCATTAAAAGTCATGCCTTGTAGAGTATGGCTCCTGGCAAATATTGATATGCTAGGCGGGGTGCCTCACAGCTCCCTCTGAGATGACATTGGCCTGAAAAGTCCAGAATTTGCATTTGAAGACTATTTCTGCACTTCTACAGTTTTACATGACAACTGTCCCTTTCCAAAGACAGTGGCTATGAGAAAACTTRATTGCCAACAAACTAAAAGCACAATTTTCCTTCTCCCTTTTCTCTTCAGTGACATTCTTTTGTCTGTAAAGATGGAGCTGAGAAAGGCTGTATAAATCATTCRGAGGTTACAGTCTCTTACCAGTGTTCTCAGTGTGCAGTGTATTTTGAAAATTTTGTTATGAAATTAACAATGAAACATTGTAATTTAGGCCCTGAGAAGTTAAAATGCTTTATCAAAAGATTCAGCAAAACTCAGGTAATAATAACTGAGAGAAGCAATTGTTGGTTTGGGTTGGACTGCTGGAGAACTAGGATGTGCTCAGAATAAAGTGAAGCCATTAGAGTGCAAGAACCTGTCTACAGCTGCTTCTGTGTTAAATACTTTAAGCATAAATGTCATYTAAGAAGATCTTGGCCCCTCCAAAATCAACGAGTGATTTCACAAATGCATTTTGTAAGGAACCTCTATACATCATCTAACAAATCCTCACTGAGGCAGGACTATTGCCCAATGAGATCAACTGTGGCTTCATCCAGCCTAATTCTGTAAACCTCCAAGGATGGTGAATCCATCATCTCTCTGGGCAGCGTGTTTCAGTGCTACCACGCTGTCCTGGTGTGAAAACATTTCCTCATGTCCAACCTAAACATCCTGAAGTGTAATTTCTGGAYGTTTCCCTTTGTTTTATTGTGACACTACTGAAAAAAAAAATCGGTCCTGTCATCTTTGTAACTGTCTATCAAGTACTAGTAGATCATTATTACATCTCCTGTTAACATCTTGTTTGCAAAACTGAAGCTGAGTTCCCGTCAGCCTCTCCTCACAGATCCTGACTTATTTCATAGCTCTTTGGCAGTCCCTCTCCTGTTTCTCTGGACTGCTTTTGAACTGAGTTCTTATAAATGCACACAGAACTTCGGGTGCTGAGCAGAGGAGAGTAATAACTTCCTTGGATACATTATCCATGGCCCTACAAATTCAGCCAACATTAAAGTTTGCTGTATTTGCAAGTACTCTCTTGGCTGTTACTCAGTGTGGTGTTCAGGCTGCTTTCCAACRTGTCCTAGAACATGGAGTTGTTCCACATTGGCTGCGTAATCCTCTGCTTCTCCTTGCTGAATGACATGAGGTTACCTTTGGCCCAATGCTCCCATTTTTCAAGGTCCCTCCAGAATGCAGCTTTGCCATTCAGCCAATTCCACTTGATTTGGTGTCCTGTGCAAGTCTGCTGCGGGTGTAGACTGTCCATCCTCCAGGCTGTTGAAGATGTTGAACAATTTTCTCTCTGGTAACTATGCCTGGGGCACTCTGCTTAGTGCCACCTCAATGCTGAGTTTGATTGCTRTCCTTCGGTAAAAATTCCCACAGTTTCTCTGCCATCATCGTGAAGTGTTTTCATATCGAGGCCATAAACTGCAAATTGAAAGCAAGACAAAAAAAGGATTAGTAATTTGTTAAATTAATAGAACTGTTGGGGCAGGATTATAGATGTTTCCTTATTGGAATATTAATATTATATTAGTGAAGCACAATGATGAGTCTGAATTTCCTGATCATTGAGTTTTAGGTTAATTTTAACTCAAATTATAGTAAATTACACACATGATTGATTGATTTTGGACTGAAATTAAGAAGCTTTTGCACAGGAAAGATGTTAGCTGTTTCAGACTCAAGAAAGATGGAGGGGGTGGATTACTGAAAGAGTGCCCTTCTTGAACCATCTAGGGACACAACGCCAGTTGACTAAATGATGCTTTTTTGTCATATAATTCCATTGTTTAGTTATCTGGGTCTTTGTGTACAAAGCAAATACAACTGTTGTTGTTTCTTTAATGTCAGTGGCTATATGTCTTTTTTGTTCATTTGAAATTTATTCATTACTTGGATCTGTGAGTTGCTCTGACAACATTTTGCTGTGAAAAGTTCTGAGATCATCACATCTGCTGTGATGATCACGCCCTGTAAGTTGCCCTCTTATATAAGGTTTTTGGTAATGGCATGTTTTTCCTTTTAAACCAAAAAGAAAAAAAATAAGTTTCTGTTTCTCAAACTGTTCAAAATAACAAGTAGTTTTTGTTGCATATGCTATTTATGATTAAAGATTTATTTAAACTGATGTGTAAAGGTGTTTTTTTACTTGAAGCTAAATAATCTTTGATGACACAAGTATGTGAATGAAAGAAATACTTACAGGCTTGATTTCAAGCAATAGTACTGTTTCAGTGTAAATACTACTGCCTCATAAACAAGTTTCAAGAACAATCTACAGTTGATTATTCTGTGAGATGAGAGGCTAAAAAAATATGGGTAATAAATAGAGGTAATACGATAAAGTTTGTATGAACAAACAAAAATAAGCTCATTTGCAGTATGTTCATGCAAATTCATTGTGGTTCACTGTAAAATTATTTTTGTTTGGGGTGAACAGTAAACTTGTTCCAGAACCCCTGTAAATTGGGTGGGGATTCTCATTTGAAAATTAGTAATTTATATTGTGGAATAGTTTTCAGACAATTAGTTATTTGGTCTTGAATTACTTAATTGGTGTTGTCTATCATGAAAAAGATGACCAAAATTTCACGTTTTTTTAAGTCTGTCACTATTTTCTCTTTGCCATTGACATCTTTGCAGACATTGATTTGCTGCTTAGGAAAATCTGAAGTGCTGATTTCTTGTAGGGCAGCAACTGAGCTGGGAGAGGGTGGAATTAAGAAGGAAGTCAGGTGTTTGGTGGGGTCATGGGGTCCCTATGAAGTAGGGCTTTCTGCATAAGGGGTTTACTGTTCCCGTGTGGAACTTTCTTCAAATGCAGAATGCTATTGGAAATAACATTGGGCTGAGCTCAGTGTTACCATCGGGTACAAAAGAGTAACTCAGTGTGAAAATGAACCTGTTGCTGGTTATCTCATCTGAGGTTCAGGAGGTCTGAGGTTTGAGAACCATTGGAAAGCAGTGATCAATAAGGAGAGGGAGAAAGGATTAGTGGTATTAGAGCACTGTAATCTCTTAGGCTCTTTTCTTTTCCTGTGGTATAGGTACACTCTTTCCTGCCAGAAGAGTAGAATTTCATATTTTCTTATCATCAGCAAATCAGCTTGTTTAGATCTTTTTATTTTTTTGTGCTCAGTGTTTTCTGTTTTAGAACACTCAGGCCATGAATTAGAACAAGTCTCTAGTTTTGACCTCTAAAGAAGTTTTGTTTTGGACTAGTCAGGTGGAAAAACATGTGCAGTCAAGAAGATGGAGCAGGAAATGCTGTTTTTGCAAAACAAAATATAATTACTGCCACAAGAATCATGTGAGATCCTTTCCCATACCAGGAATTTCACTCCTTGAAGTAAATAACAAGGTCTGCTTTTAGACACAACTTTTGYGCGCTTGACAAATGAGGTAACTATCATCCTACCCGTTTCTACAGCTGGAGAAGCTGGGGCACAGTGGGTGAGGAAGAGATTTGGCCTGCCTTTCTACATCTCACAGCAATACTGGGAGCTGAACCCAGTCTTTCCATGTGCTCTTTCAGAGCTCGGTCCTGTTAGTGTCTGTAGAAGAGCTTTGTGCCACTTCTCTTGCTATTCACGCAGAGTTTGTAATTCCCAGATTTGCYTCACTTTGTTCTCCTAGCTCTCCTCTTTCTCTCTCATTTTAGATGCTTCTTCTTCTGTTGAACATTTAGGCACTCTACTTCATGAAGAACTCTGTATTTTCCCTTAGTTTCCGCTCTCTCCTCAGTTTCTCTTATGTAGCTAATTATTCAGGCTCTATTTGAAATATAAAATGTGCCATCAGACCTTGTTTTAGTATCACAGTGGTGCTCTGAAGATTCAGACTAAGCAGCAATGTCCCTGTGTGTAGGTGTCGTACAAATGTGGAATTCTGCAGAAAAATTTGAAGGGCAATAGCAGAAACAGTGACTGAGTCCAGATAATACCAGTATCTCCATAATTCATTCATTTTGAAATATAATCTGTTTGGCCTGTTGCCTCATTTGTTTCTGCTGTCCTGGATGCTTTAAGATGCTGGGCCCCTGAATCCCTTGAAGGGTTAGGTGTTGGAAATATCAAGAACTAATTAGGAAAACACCTGACCTTTTATTCCTTATCTCCCCTACCCCTGCATCTAGAAAGAGGATCAATAGCTCATATGGCCTAATTGTTGAGTCAAAGTGTGTCCAAATGAGTCAAAGTTGTCCATATTGCCACTGAAAGGTTATCAGCCCCGCAGTAGGCATTATCACACTAACTTTAATCACATGAGCTCAGGTGGAGGTGAGTGAAGCCACSACAGCGTGTGCTCCAGGATGAGCTGGCTCCCTGAGTCAGTGCTCGTCACCAGGCTTGTATCGCCCGTGCTGTAACTTCATGTCTCCATGGCTGTTTCTGTCAAAGCAGCTCTTGGGTTCAAGCAGGCTTGGTAAATCTTCCTACACTGTATTGTTTTATTCACGTACAAAAGATATTATTATGAAATTACTTGAACGTGCTGATTTAAAAAATTACTTTTAAAAGGGCTATCAAGCTGTGAGCCTGTTCAGATGAACCAAGCATGTTCATTTGTCTGTTTGAAAGGAGAAACTGTGTGCCAAGTGATGTGACCCAAGTTAGTTTGCAAGGAATGTAGGCGTTTCGGAATGGTACACATTCAAAAGGATTGATATGTTTATACTACAGATTTTAAAATTGAAAATCTATGGATTYTTTTCTAGGGTTTTTATTAAGCTTTCCACACAGCATTCTCCTTAGTGTGTCGTACTTAATTGCTTTTTTTGCTTTGCTGCTCTGGTCCATTGGGAACTTTCCCTTTCCTTCTACCAGATTGTTGACAATCAGCCTACAGTCATTTGTTTATTATATCCAAATCTACTTTCATTATAGAAAAACTGAACTGCAGAATGATAAAACGTGTTAATGCTGTTGCTCACAATAATATTCCAGTTTACCCAACATGCAATTTTAATAATATCAATGAGGTGTTACTCTAAAGCTGTTCAGTTAGCTTGGCATTTCAGTTTTAGATGGGAATTCAGAAGCTTTTCAGTTCCTTAGCATCACTTACTGCATTCCATTTCCATTGTAAAAGGAGTTGTCTGAGTCAGGGATGCATTGAAGTAGATGTAGTACTACAGATTAAAACAAACAAACAAAAACCCCACATATTGTGTAGATTTGAGGATTTAAGTCATTGATAAGCTTCACAGTCGAAACAAGGGCTCAAGATTTTTTATTATCCCTTTCTGTTGCTCTTTCTTACAATCTTTCCCACTGCCTCTGTGAGTATATGGCTTCACTGTTTTTCCTATGCAGGGGAAATAAAGATTGAACAGTACTTGATTTTCTTGCATTGCAAATGAACAACTCATGCATGAGTGTATCTTTTCCTTTTAAAGGTCAAGCACATATAAGTCTCAAGGAATTGATGTCACAGTTAAGTACACTCAAGGAAGCTGGACTGGAATGCTAGGTACAGATGTCATTACAATCCCGAAAGGAATCAATGGCAGCTACACTATCAACATTGCTACCATTCTTGCATCAGAGAATTTCTTCTTGCCAGGGGTTAAATGGCAGGGGATTCTTGGTCTTGCCTATGATGCCTTAGCCAAGGTAAGTCATCCTTTCCCCAGCTTTTGTCTTTCGCAATGACAGTAAATAGAAATCTAAATTTTAAGGTAAAGAGAACCAATGATCTGTCGATATTGGACTCTTCCCTTCCAATCACTCTTTGCTAAGGATCCTTTCCATCTTGATAAATTCAAGAAAGAAAATTTTAAAAAGGGGGGAAGAGGTGATGATACAGTAGTCCCAGATGAGAATTTAAGCATTTCCGGTGATAGATGCTCTATTTGTATCTCGTCTGGAATGACTAAGCTTTTATATAGCCCATCTGAGTACCAGAGTATAAGAGTAAAGGTTACCAGACTTCTGTTACATGTGTGCAGGGTATTTATTAGGGCTCTAAAGAGCTCCCTCAAGACTTATCCAAGGACTGATAAACTTATCTGGCAAAGTCTCTGGCAGCTCATTCTACAACATTCTTCATACATATAATAAAACTTGAGATTGAGAGCACATGAGGATAACTTCAGAACAAACACGAACCRTGGTGTTTTCATGAACATAGAATGAAACGTTTTTGGTTTTAGTGARGTAGTATATTCAAGTATAAGTCTAAGTTAAAAATTAAAATTAATAATCTAAAAATAATTTATTGTCTAAAACTGAAAATGTGACTGGAAGCCATGTATTTGTTGCTGTCAACCTATGCAATAATTGTTTAAAAAAATCGATGAACTGAGACATATGCAGGTAGAACAAGCAATTCAATGCTCTCTCCTTACTCTAGACTTAAAACGCTGTATTCAAGAGCTGTGTGATCACTGTATTGACTCCTACCTTACTTACTGTCATGCATTGTCAGAGAAGAGCTGCTTATCAAGTCCTGGTTGTGGCAAACAGTGGCATTTATTTTTCTCTTTTTCTGAAAACTTAAGCGTTCTTAGCTTCTGATGCTGCTTAGTACTGTGTATAGTAAGAGTACTTAGCAAACTAAGCAGTGTCTCCACATGTCACAGCATACTTCTGCACAGAAATCTGAATTATAAAGGAATTGTAATACTTTAATAACTGCGAAGGCAAGCATGGCATATGGTGTAGAAGAAAAAACTGTTAGCAAATACGATACTTGAAGTGGGCAAGCTTTTATATTATGTCTTTTAAATGAAGGAAAAGGAAATAAGTGCTGTTGAATACCAAGTTTATTAGAATTAGAATGTTCTATTTTAAAAAACAAAAATCCTCCCTATAAAATTCTGCCTTTTAACCATAGAAAGGTGGAAGGGGAATTTTTCACTACTCTAATAACCTAAAGCTATTTCCAAACAGCTACAGTCTTGGCAGAAGTTTCTGCCTGAACCACCTATAATTTGTGTTTGAAAGCTGTAAGTAGAAAACACTATGGGGATTTCTGTGACAGGTAAAGAATAAAACTATGTAAAAAAAAAAAAAAAAAAACAAGAAATGTCAGTGTTTTTAATAACATATTTATGATCATTATCACTTCATTTACTCCTGAAAAGTGGTCTTGTTTGAATGATTTGCTCTTTTTGTTTTGTTTTTCAACGTCCTCAAGCCTTCAGGTTCTGTGGAGACATTCTTTGATTCTCTTGTGAGCCAAGCAAAGATCCCCAATGTCTTCTCCTTGCAGATGTGTGGTGCTGGACTGCCTGTTTCTGGAAGTGGTACCAACGGAGGTAGTCTTGTGGGTATCTGTCCATCTCAGAGGGAAAATGTGCATTTGTTAATCTCTCTCCTTTCTTATTACTAACATACTTTTTTCCAAATTTAGTATTAGATATATTAAATGCTTTCTAATTTTAAGGAAAAGTTAAGCATTTAGGCAAAACTCGATTTGGCTATTGGTCCTCTTTTTTTTTTTTTTTTTT